TTTACATGGTGTTTTCATATAGTTGTGGGGCTGGCATCACTTCAACAGTACAGTATGTAAGTTATAGTAAATTAAATTCTCTTTGGTTGTACGGCCTGTCGGACTAATCTACCATATCAAAACGCTTCCGAGCGCATCAGCCCGATATTCCGCGTCTGAGGAAAGACGATTACGCACCTTCCATGATCAGATGACATGATGTAGAGTAATTGTTCCTGAAATCTGGCCAGATTTCTTGAGATAAATGCCATCTAACGCCATCCATTTTGCGATATCTATTCTTTGTGGCACTTTCGTACTCTCTATCTACCCTCCCAAAGGGTAGGCCAGTTACCATGAAATTATCTCTGTCCGAGCAGCTACCTTCTCGATGCATGACGAATCATGTATCGATATATTGCCAAGGTGACGGCCATAACATTAGAAGCGTCAGGAGCCTGCACAATGCGTGGAACTCTCTGGAGTGGTTCGTGGATTGAGTCATTGACGAGACTGTACAGTCAGACCCCGTGGTTCGGTACATCGGACCGAGCATGCTACTACCACTATTTCCCTTTGAAAACTTGGAATTGGAACATATCCTCGAATCCTCATCTGTTCATCCAGTTTCCTCCCCATTAACCGTCTCCTTATCTTTGCGACTCTCTATGAATACCGACCGTCTAAGTAATGGTATACCTCTACGACGATGGGCTCGCGTTCGAAACAGTGACGAATCTCCGACCAAGGGCATCTGTGGTTCAGCGTAACGATATATCCGCTGCGTAGTCAGTAGCGAGGAGACGCCTGCGTTGAAACGGAGTGTTTTCTTGGGTTGTTGTCTACCGAAGATTGGTTACTTCCTAGGTGAGCCTGCTTTATTTTTATTCTATGCGTCGTGTTTATATGCTCTTTTTAGTCCTACCGCAGTACTGGCTCACGTGGACATTTGAAATATCCATCCTTCTCCCTTCAATAGCCAGTCGATTGACAATAACAACCGTGAAGTCACCACCGCTCAAATTTGCAATTGCTCAACTTCAGAAACCTTCTCCGCCCACCACGAAGTTTTATCGAGGTGCCGAATCCACTAGAGCGCGCTGGCGTCAAGACCTGTAGCCAATGAACGAGTGTGCGCAATGATCAAACCCTTCCTCACCTCGGCGGTCTGGCTGAGAATAAGTTTCCCGTTTCGCAAAGTACGGTCATAGTAGCGTTAAAGACAGGAAGTTGCGTCTTTGCTGGCACGAGCCAATGGGACAACGGTAAGCAAAGTCATTAATAACAAACTCATCGTTTTCCGTTGATTCTAACCATTGTCTTTGTTTGGTCTTACATTTGAAAACCCCTTAAATAACGGGTGGCATTTCCGTATAAAAGGCCGAAGCTCAAGGCAGTCGCATCAGAAAATCACCTCATGGATTCTCCTCGCAGGTCGTCCCGCCTTAGGTGGCCAGTGGATTTTCGTCAGCCTCCGCCTCAGACCATCCCTCGAAAGCGAAAACAAAAACCACGGCCGCCATCCCCCGTTCCCCCTTGTTCACCGCCCCCAGAGGCATCCACCACCAACAACTCGGAAACCATACCGCCCATCGATCCCTTCACGTTTGAACACGACCCACGCTCCTCGTCGCTCCCACCCGAGATGTTCACGTACGCGCCCAGCTGTGCGTCTTCTGACACCGGCACACGAGAAAATACACCGTTTCCCCATTCGTTCTCGGGGGAGTCGACGCCTTGTGATCGGGAACCTGGACCTGCCGTGGTCAAGAAGGAGAGTACGCCTATCGCTCTCAGGGAGGCATCCCCCGAGCTAGAGGATGGTGAGATAGTGGAGCCGACTTCTAGTGGCAATAAGGATACCACACCAACCCAGCATGCGCCCCAGGAGACTCCGGAGCTGAAGACGTTTGAAGAGAGATTCCTTGGATTCTAGTCTGAGGGGATATCGATTGCTGGGTTTTCTGATTCAGGTATGTTCCATTCCAGCGTTCTTCGTATCATATTCAGATACTCCGGTCTAGGTTGATATATCTGTCATTGGTTCTGCATGTTAAACCTGTATGTTCTACTGCGATAGATGAATCAAAAAAAGGCGATCGCCATGTTGGAATATTGAAATTTGGCACCTGAGCTAGTCGGGATGTGACACATTCAACTTTTTCAGATTATGGACTTTTGTCTGGTTATTGACTCAGTCATTATTGTTTCATGTTGACATGGAATTGGGGTGCCGCGCGCCTTCCTAGCCATGATGAAACCCTTGATAACATCTTTACATGAGTGATTCCTTAACTTCCTCAAACTTTTCCCTGATGCTCATCATTCCGCAAGCACGATTCGGAAGACAGGGCAAAATTAGATACACGTTGGTATTCCTCATTCCAACACGTCGCCTGTCACTCTCGAATCTATGGCGTCCCCCAACGCACCAACGTTCGAAGAAGTAGCCACCGCAACTGCCTACTTTGTCTCCCAGCCTGACCCAACACTCGAGGCTCGTACTTGGGTTGGGATTGCTCTTGCACGTCGTAGAAAAAGAAATAACCTTGCTGATCGCTGAAAGCCAAGATGGCGAGTAAGAGAAGGGACAATTATGCATGGAGGACGGGCGACGCAAAATGATTCAAGCAGCCCGCCTAGATCAACACTCAGCACTGGTCAACGAATGCGAATGCAGCTCACGTTTGTGCGATTGGAAAATGCATTTTCTATGGAACGACCACAGCTCTGTTGGCAGTGAGATGGGGCATTTACTTGCAAAACATTTATTGCATCCAGAGTTGAAGAAATAGTTGATAAAGGCGGTTTCGCTGAATTTGCTGCTCGGGAAAGACGGTACATCAGGCAGGCGAAGAAGATGATTCCTTGCATGAGTCCGACAGCGGTGCCCATGCTGGTCCATTATTCAGCTTTAGCTGACCTTCAGACGGTCGCCGGTCGGGCAGCATGGTGGGCTTTCAGTACCTACAGGTACGATTAGGGTCATCCTGATGGCGAGATGCATCGTAAAACTCCATATCTTTGCTTCAGGGTCACCAAGAGCAAGAATTATACAGCCAGAATACTCAAGTTATCTCGACACCCACCGGAACCCGGTTTCGAGTGATACTTCGGACAGGAAGATAGCAAGAAATTATCACTATTTTCGCCAAGGTGCGTTCCCACTGCCGATGATTTTCGGTCATTGCTTACTGCCCATTAATCATTTAGGATCATTTCAGCGCTATTCAGTCCAGGAATAGGCTATGCGTTTGCGAAAATATGAATATTTCTAGTACAGCTTTTCGGTCCACCTCTTCAGTTGCGTATGTCCGGTTCAGAAAACTTGCGCGATACTCAGCCGTATGATGGAGAATCGCAGAAAGATTCAGAAGGTGGGTCAACACTCATTCTATCTAGCATGTGCACCTCAATCTACCTTCGTTTAGCACGTACACTGATATTCTGCTGTAACGTCTACCCGTGCTGCCAATGCTTCACCAATCACCCGTCACAACGCGAATCCCACCCACCTCGGAATTCGGTATTCCTGGACCATCGTCGCAAGTAACGGACAACATATAGCGAGTTCAAGGGTTTACGTGCCCGTTAAGACTTACCGTGCCGATGTTACTCTGGTATGGCTTTGGTCTGCACCCACATCGCCAATTGTCCATGCTCAGTCAGAACTATGCAGCCTATACTGAAGTTTCCACTAAGGAGTATTCGTTCGAAGATGTCATATCTCCAAGATACTGTGCACTCAATTTTTAGCAACAAGGGCTAGATGCAATTTGAGCTCGCGGTCCGGTATTTTTAGCTACCCGTCCGTCCTCAGTCGGGCCTCTTGACGAGTTGGGTTTTTAAATGTATGTAATGTTTCCGTCTATCGGCTAGTATGCGACTAAAAATCTGGTGCTCAGCATGACGATTTTAAAATCGCATTTTTTAGCATGTGTCTCAGAGATTGGCAAATGATGTTGTAGGCCTGTCCGATCCAAAGTACGGTAATTCGAACCGTTATATAGACGCGACATGTTTCCTCCTTAGTTCAAGCACCATTGATCCAATTGATGCAGACGGACGGATTCACCGATGGCGAAAATGAAATTCAGTGTGTCTTCAGTCACCTTTTCTTTCGCCATGGAGCACATACAGATAGAATTCTAGTTTACCAGTCGTCAATGGGTGCCGAATTTAATGCTGCTGCTTAATTGCGCATCCGCGCATCCCGAGGAGTAGGAGTGACGTCATCTGCTTTTCCTCTGGGTGGCCTTCCAATGAGCGTGATCCAGTCCATCTGCCCTAGCTTTGTTCGGCCGATCTAAAACTGTAGATATCATAACCAGGACACTTTTGGACAACATAGCTGCTTTCTAAGATATCCTTGTAATGTCTAATACGGAGCACCAGTAATGCGCCCGACATTCCAGTGTAACAGCGAGAACGAGCACTCGCAATTTCTCCGCACCTCAATTACCAAAGACAAATGCTTGCATGAAGATTAATTATTGTCTTATTCTACTGCAAGTCTATACACAAAGTCCTTTAAGACGCAATGGAATGATCCTAGTATTCACAGATATCGTTGTTATCCTAAATTTAAAAATATCGAGCAGTGAATGCCTCTTTTTGGATCTATTGTACTTGCTTCCGCGGAGGCTTATTGGCTGCAGCGATGTGTGCCACCTGCGTTCCCTCTAGAATTTGGATGGTGATGGCCCATTCGACATCTCCATCGCTGGAGGCGGCAGACGATGGGAGACTCCCATATGCTGGTTCATGTTGTCTTTCCTGCTGAAAGTGCTCGTGCAGCCTTCGTGTGGACATTCAAAAGCTAAGGAACTGTGAGCACTGGAACCAAAGAGTGAAAAGGTCGAGCTCACGTCTGCATTCCAAATGCACACAGTTGATATGTCTCTTCAGATGCTCTCCTCGAGCGAAGGCCTTGTTACATCCTTCATACGTACAAACATATAGCCTCTTGGGACTGCCCTCTATTTTCACTCCATGCGAAGTGGATGGAAGCACCTTGTGAGACGTTGCTACAGTCTGACCGCCTTCACGAAACTCTGGGGCAACAGCGACTTTCCTTCCGCGAATTTTCTTACTGCTATTGGCAACGACCGTCGGTTCGTCTCCACTGTCGCGTTTCTTGCGAAAGTGCTTCGTCGATCTGGTCGATCGAGTTCTCCTTTTAGGCGTCGGGGTCGAAGGTCCTGGACTAGGGCAGTAGACCGAACCAGAATCCGATTCATGGTCTTCAGATCGCGACCGTGGTGCATCGCTGGAAGACCCCGTGTACAAGTTAGAGGCGGAGGACACCTGCAAGTCAGACCGTAGCCTTTTACGCTTCTTGCTAGATAGCGAGAAGTCCTGATGAGCGGGCTGTGCTTTCGCCTCAGTAGAAAGCGATGCGTCCGGAAGATGCTCCGTAAGTGATGAAAAGAGTGCTGAGGACGATGAAGGCCATACGGGATCCGGTACGTTGACATACATAGGCAGTGTTGAGGGTCGCTGTAGTGAGGTGGATGGTGTCGTGCCAGAATCTAAGGGAAGTTCCGAGAGAAATGGTGAAATGTCGCCATAACTGAAGCGCGAGTCCGTCGTTAACAGGCTGTGAAGGCCATATCCGTTGGAGAGGTGTTCTTCGCAAAGCGTCTGTGGGAAAAAATCTGGATCCCGGTCTGGATCAAAGTGGAGCTGGTAGTGGTATTTAGCCATCCGCTCGTAGGAAAACGAAGCAGGTGCAGATTGGGTTGGATTATCTGTCTCATCAGGCGGCCCCGAGGGTGGGACCCCCTTGATCTGCTCCAAGTTGTCGTACAGGTAGTCGTCCATCTGATTTATAGCGGTGGTGGTGGTCGCTGGTGAACAGGAGATGCAAAATCCGCTCTTTTTAAAAGAAACTCCACGATCATGTCTGAATTTTGATCAAGAACATCTCCGGGTTGCCTCAGCCTCTGTGATTTCTTAGACGAAGCAGAGTCCCTGCGGAAGAGATTGTAAGATTCCATCAGAAACCGCAGATGATACATCTTACCTCTGTCATGCTCCTCGACATGTTTATTTTCTGATATGCCTTAAAGAATGGTCGTCCACTCTTCGAGCACCACGATGTCGTTTTTACCGATGAGTGAAATGTCGGCGTTGCATACGTGGGGTTTACCTGCTGCCCTTCATACATTGCTCTGCTGGACTAATAGTATGTTCCAGGTGCGCCACAAGAAGCACAGAGTGGCGTCCTCACACAAGAATTGCAGCCGGAGGCGGAGCATGTATCTGGATCATCTGTTGTCTATCATATCGAGACCCTTATCGAACTACTGCAGAAAAGGCGAGACCATCTACGTCGTAAGAAGCATATCAGGCAAGGAGGTAAAGGCGCCAAGGTGACGCACACTTCTGCCTTCGGTACAGGAGTTTAGGACGTGTGTCGCTGAAACATTATATTTGAACGATTAATCACCCAATTTTACGCATATATGCAGGCGAAAATTTTGTTTAGGATGCGAGACACAACGGAACCTAGCGCTATGGACGTGACGTCAAAACTGAGAGTGAGGCTGCAACAAAGATATATTTACAAGAGTTCAACAAATCAAGGAATGAGAAGTACGATTGCCTGAGTGTCTCTGCGTGACCAGTTAGCAGAGGCAGACACAAGAAATATAAAAACGAACATCGCGAGGGATCATTTTGGCGGTCCCTGTGTTCTTCAACTTCTTGAGGAACTCGTTATTCTCTGCAAGGCGTTCTTCAAGGTCTCGTTCGCTCTTGTCTGACAAAAGATGAGTACGATAACATGGCCATCTGAGGCGCGGCGCTGCACAGACATACCGGGACACGCAGCGTTCTGGCGACAAGGGTCTAGCCCTGAATTTCAAAATACAAAGCATTGAATACCTTTTTGGCATCCGGTTTTGGATTTGTCTCCGCGGGTGGTTCCTAGGACAACGAAATGAATACACGGAACAAGACATAATGAAACGGGTATGATTGAGGATGCAGTGTCTCAGTTGCCTAAATTGGAGTTTACGATATCGCCTTTGAAGGAATCTAACTCACCAAAGTCATTACACTTCCCCGTACCTCTGCGATATGGCGACCAAATCCGGAGGATGGCCGCCAATGCGCAGTCCACAGAAATCACTGCCCCACCTGCAACATCACATTCACAGTTTTGATTTTTGTTCAGGTGGCTGGAATGGTCTGAGACAATCTCAAAATAGGGAGGCTAACTGTTGTGTTTAGGATAGGTACTGCCGTGCATTATTGAATGATAGAATCAATTGGTTGGAATTGCAAGGACTCATAATGTGGTCAATGTACCCCATTAAACGCCGTCCGAACGACGCAGGTGATATCACCAGTCAAGGAGACGTAAATTACTGTCTGGCAACACTTCGGCATGCCCGGAGCTCATTGTGTTCCTGAACGACTTGGGTCATGATATCGTGCAAAACTACCCGCAATTCAGCAATGGTACGGTGCAACCAGAAGAAACAATGTACCTGTCAGTGTAAGACATGTTAAATGCCGGTTGAACTCCAACGTTCGGTGGATTGTTGGAGTGGGAAGAGTGGCCTGATAATTGAGGCGCTTGGCTTGTGTGGTGGTCTTTAAGCCACGGGTGATCCATGAGTGCGAGTAACCAAGTAAGGAAAAACATACAATGCACGATTTTTCTTTTTCACGACGATAAGCTCGCGACTGTATTCAGCCATCCACTTCCGCATCTTGCCTGCATGCTAGGCCTGTTTAAGCGATGGATCCAAGTTCAAGCAGGGCATACCTGTCCCAGAATTTTCCGAGTCCTTTTCTTCTCAGTCATCACCTGATTGCGTCGATGTCAGTGGATGGATAACAAATGCCATGGAAGAGTTGGCACCTCATGAAGTGCGTTCTCGTTCCTCAACGATCAGAGGTGCTCGTACCAGGCGAGCTCTTTCTTTGCCTGCTCCACCAAATAGAGCTTCTTCTCCGGGAATGCGTCACAGTATAGTAGTAGAAGAATGGGCTCGTCCTTAGGTGGGGATTGCTCTTGCAGGTCGTAGAAAAAGAAATATCCTTGCTGATCGCTGAAAGCCAAGATGGCGAGTAAGAGAAGGGACAATTATGCATGGAGGACGTGCGACGTAAAATGATTCAAGCAGCCCGCCTAGATCAGCACTCAGCATTGGTCAACGAATGCGAATGCAGCTCACGTTTGTGCAGAGGTATATGAAGTACGTTAGATTGGGAAATGCATTTTCTATGGAACGACCGCAGCTCTGTGGGCAGTGAGATGGGGCATTTACTTGCAAAACATTTATTGCATCCAGAGTTGAAGAAATAGTTGATAAAGGCAGTTTCGCTGAATTTGCTGCTCGGGACAGATGGTACAGCAGGCAGGCGAAGAAGATTATTCCTTGCATGAGTCCGACAGCGGTGCCCATGCTGGTCCAATATCGCGTTGATGTTCCTGCATACACTTCAAACA